AACATGTATCAATATGGTGATTTCCTTTCGTCTTTCAATGATAACGTTATTAAGGTTATCAGACAATATGAAAGGAACTTACTTAAAATAAATAGACAAAACCTGTCTATATTATTTAATGAAACATGCATTAATGAAAAAACTGCTGCCTAAATATACACAATTTAAATTACAAGATCCAGAATCCCAACGAACTATGAACACTTGGAATGATATATATATATATATATATATATATATATATATATATATATATATATATATAATATCTTGAAAATATATTTCAATTGAGCACTCTTGAGGGATAAGCTAACTCTATAAAATACAGCCACCTGCGTTAATGCAAAGCTCTTCAGTAAAATGTATAGAGCACTCTTGCTGATTGGCATTTGTTTACATTCGTATAAACAATATGCTTAATTTACATACTTCGATTCGCAGAATGTAGATAGCACAGTAGTAGAAGCTCTGACTGATACCAAATCGGTTGTGTATCGATCTTGCTTTGAGGCATTCCGATGTCTGGACGCATCGAGTAACTGTGATACAGCGAAACAGTAGTGTATGCGAATGACAGATATATTTATATATTCGTTTTAATACAAATGCATTAGTTTTAGTATGTTGTAAATATAAAATTATTCTTTATTCGTCTTTCATACCAATGACTCTAGCCGTCATTTTTCTGTATTTGACTTTTAATTTATTTGTTTTTACGTTTGAATTGCCGTCACAATGTTTTAGAGTTGATTTAAAGGTGTTCTTGGATAAATAGACTGTGTTTTTTTTAGTTATTTCGCCTTCTCCTTCTTATCATTTTCTCCTTCTTCATTCACCACTTCTTTGCCTTCATCCTCTTTCTTTTTTTTCATTATCCTTTAATTCATTTCTTCTTCGATTTCTTCTTCTTCTTCTTCTTCTTTTCTTCTTCTTTGACGTTGTTTCTGCTTTTTTGTTCATCGTTTTATTCAGTAAATAATATCGTTATTCTTTTTTTTCCTTTTCTTCTTCTTCTGCTTCTTCATCATCATCATCATCAACATTCTCATCCTCATCGCCATCATCTTCGTCGTCTTCTTCTTCTTTTTCTTCTTCTTTTTCTTCTTCTTCTTCTTCTTCTTTGGAATTGTTTTAAACAACACGATCGTTGACACACTACATGTAAATCTTTGTATTTTGAATATTTCTTAAACTCGTCCCAAAAAACAAAAAAACAAAATATTTGGCCTGTAAACCAGACTTTTTTTTTTCCATTGTTCTTGGGGCATAATGCAATATTTTGTACAGTGCTTCATACATATGTAATCATTTCAATCTATTTATAAGTAACGATAGTCTTTTTTATGATTTTCTATCCATTCTGTCCAATTTTTTTTTTTTCATTATTTTTTTCACTGGGAAAATCACCATACACTTTAACAATTCTATATCAAATTTTAATAATCTTATTTATTAGTTCAATTTTTCTAGTATCTTTTTTTTTCCTTCTATCCGACGCCTCTTCTTCATTCTCTTATTTTTGTCGTCCTTTTTAAATTCTTCTTTCTCATTTAATCATTCGTTCTTTTTTTAATCCTCCCTATCTTTCTTTCTTTCTTTCTTTCTTTCTTCTTCGTCTTCTTCTTAAATCCTCCTTTTATTATCTCTTTTTTCACTTTTCTTCTCGTCTTTCCTTTTTCCGCCTGTCTTAAATATCTTTTCTTTTTCTTTCTCTTATTCCTTTTTTTAGAGGGAGTTTCGTTTTAAATTCTCAACCACACCTCTCACTTTTTTAAGCTTCTTCTTCTTCTTCTTCTTCTTCTTCTTCTTCTTCTTCTTCTTCTTCTTTGCCCTCGGCGTTCCTGCTTTTTCTTCATCGTTTTATTCAGTAAATAATATCGTTATTCTACAGTTCCTTTTCTTTTTCTTCTGCTTCTTCTTCATCTTCAACATTATCATCCTTACCACATCTTCTTCTTCTATAATACATTTTTTTTTTCTTCTTCTTCTTCTTCTTCTTCTTCTTCTTCTTCTTCTTCTTCTCTCCCTTTCTCACCGACCCGATGTCATCTCCGTCTTCATCCCTTTAAACTTCACTCCTCACTTTGTTTATTTCTTTTTTTTTTTTTGGCAAATGTCAGGGGCGGGGTAGAGAATCTTCAGTTTCAATTTTAATTAAAAATCTGCGACTAATCTTTCATGCACCAGATCGATAGACTTTTCCGGCTGAAAAACGAAATCGATAATTAAAACGAAATGTGACAACACTGGGTCAACCTGTGTGTCGATTAAAATGCTCTCCTCTCGACACATTTTGTCTTTTATGGGTGGGGTGTGTGTTAATTACTTTCTTTTAGAATTTATTATACTTGAAAAATTCAATAGGATATCTCAAGAAATATTTTTTTAAATCATTTCACACCAAGCAAGGCAATAAAGCTACTAAGACGCAAAGTGTTCCTGAGTTTTGTAGAATATGAAAAATAACAACACTATCATGGAAAGAAAACAATAAAAGACAGAAGATAAGTCGGCTGGAAAGCAACAAGCGTCAAGTGCGAGAGAAGAAACTCAGCATAAAACTTACGGTTCATAATAGCGAGTCCCATAACATGTTAGAGTCATAGGTGTAAAACCCTGCAGACAAATTACAAGTGATGTGTCTCGGGCTGGTTTGAATGAACCTAGACGGGTTGCCAGACCCAATGCTATAGAATCCAGTCTGTCCTGCTATTTACCCATAGCTGGGGAGAGGAGAGATGGATTAAAACTTTTTCCCACGTAAGTGACTATGATGAATGCGACTGGAGTTCAAACTCTGCTCTCCGATTCCAGAAAACCTGCTGCAATCCATTACCCCACCCTGCCTCCTTAGCGACATTTTGAAGAAATATTTCAACTGTAAAATGAATAAACTTAGCTGATAATCTAGTCCAGCGTTTCTCAACCTTTTTACCCTTGCGTAACCCTTAAGATAAATTACATGTCTCAAAGGACCCCTGCCCTAGAACAAAATTACATACCATATCTTTCTCCTTTTATTTTCATTGTAGGTCACGTGGTAAATATCATAGTATATATTTTTGAATAACTGGTTTAAGGAAAAATTAATACTTCTTAGTCAAATTATTTTGGATGCTAGATAAAATTCATATTCTGTTTAGATTTCTAAGATGAGGTATTATGTACAGTATTTACATTATTTGGACTGTTGTCCTCATATTTGTCGCCATATTTATTACAACGGCTCGGCCGTTGTACGCTCCGGCCTTCTTCAAGTAGTTGGAATGTCGAATTGAACCCTTTATTTCGCTCACTGGGATACACTGTTCTTGGGGAAACATGGCACAGTGGATAAAGTCGTTGGTTAGATCCAGTGACAGGACCCAAAGAGTGTGAGTTCAATACCCGGTTGAGGCAGGGGAGAACTTGGAGAGGGGAATTAACAGTAGATAACTGATAACTGACATCCATTAGACATGGTACGTGGAACTAGAACAGTCTACCCCAGTGAGCAAAATAAAGGGTTCAGTTCGACATTCCAACCACCTGAAGAAGGTCGGAACGTACAACGGCCGAAACGTTGTGATAAATATGGCGACAAAGATGAGGACGGTAGTCCGAAAAATGTAAATAATGTACATAATACCTCATCTCAGAAATATAGACAGATACTCAAGAAGACCGGAGCGTACAACGGCCGAAACGTTGTAATAAATATGGCAAAGATAAGGACAATAGTTCGGATAATGTAAATAGTGAAAATTAATACTGTTCGTTTATAATACTTCATCAAGGATTTTTCATTCACACACACAAAAAAAATCAAACGTAAAAAAATAAATATAAGTAATCAATATCATATACCTATAATATAAATGCAAACAGAACAAAAATAGATAATTGCTGTATTAGTTGTTTTTTTTTTATCCTTTACTGGCAATGTTGAAAAGACATAAGGTAAATCAAGGTAAAATATCCTGAGAACAAATAAATGGGCATAGAAAATGTTACTTTGAGAGCCATTTGATTAAGTGAAACATGCTTCTCTAATGTGAAGCCTGTGACTGTCTTTTGCTACACAAATACTTAATTCGATGTCGAACTTTACATGTCCCGTTCGCTGAGTGGGCACTGATGAGTGAAGATGATTTCACACTGGCGTCATACAGACATCACTAAATATATATTTTAATAACATAATGACGTCTATATTACATATCTTTCTCGTTTTATTTTCATCGTAGTTCACCTAGTAAATATCATAGTATATATTTTTGAATAACTGGTTTAAAGAAAAATTAATACTTCATTGCCAAAGTTTTCGGTAATGCTAAATAAAATTCATATTGTTTGTTTATAATACTTCATCAGAGAGTTTTCATTCACACAAAAAATTCTAAACTCAAACGTAAAAAAAGACGTATTTTATTTTTTATCCTTTCCTGGCAATATAGAAAGACATAAGCTAAATCAAGGTAAAATGTCCTTAGAAACAATAATTGGGCAAAGAAAATGTTATTTTCAGAGCCATTTGATAAAGTGAAACATGCTTCTCTAAGGTGAAGCCTCTGCCTGTTTTTTTCTGCACAAATATTTAATTCGAGGTTGAACTTTAGATAAACAAACACGGATTTCATTTTCAATTGAAAGGAGACGATTTCTGTCATTGCCCCTGATACTTGTTATGACATCACTAAATACGAGGGTCATTGAATAAATAAGGTGAATTTTCGGTATAAGGACTTCTAATACAGATAGAAGCTTACATTTTTTCGTTTTTCTTTTACTTCTTTTTCACATGGCTTTAATTTCTTTTGCAGATTAAAAAAAAAAAATGAGAGTTTTTGCGATTAACAAAGATGGCCGACCAAGAAGCATTTTCCAGGATTGAACAGCGGTCAGTTATCAAGTTTTTGGTTGCTGAAGGGTGCAAACCAGTTGGAATTCATAGGAGAATGTCAACTGTGTATGGTGCCACTTGTTTCAGCCAAAAAATGTCTACAAGTGGGCTAAATTGTTTAAAGAAGGACAGAGCAGTGTTGAGGAGGAAGACAGGCCTGGGAGGCCGACAGAAGTGAGTAATGAAAAAAAACAGAAAGAAAGAAGAAAGAAAGACAGAAAGATAGAAAGGAAAAAGAAAGAAAGAGGCAGAGAGTAAAGAAAAAAGAAGCAGAAAGAAAGAAGTAGATAGGAAAATCTAAAGAAAGAAAGAAAGAAGCAGAGAGCAACAACAATAACAAATAAAAGAAAGAAAGAAAGAAAGAAGCAGAGAGCAACAACAATAACAAATAAAAGAAAGAAAGAAAGAAAGAAGCAGAGAGCAACAACAAAAGAAAGAAAGAAAGAAAGAAAGAAAGAAGCAGAGAGCAACAAAAAAAGAAAGAAAGAAAGAAAGAAAGAAGGAAAGAAGCAGAGAGCAACAACAAAAGAAAGAAAGAAAGAAAGAAAGAAAGAAGGAAAGAAGCAGAGAGCAACAACAAAAGAAAGAAAGAAAGAAAGAAAGAAAGAAAGAAGGAAAGAAAGAGAGAAAGAAAAAAGCAGGGAGAAAAAACAAAAGAAGAAAAAAGGTAGACAGAAATAGAGAAAAAAGGAGCAGAAAGAAAGAATGAAGCAGTGAGTAATGATGAAAGAAGAAAGAAAAAGAACGAAAGAAAGAAAGAAGCAAAGAGTAAAGAAAAAAGAAGCATAAAGAAAGTAGATAGGAAAATCAAAAGAAAGAAAAAACGAAAGAAAGAAAGATAGAAAGAAATGAAGAAAGAAAGAAAGAAAGAAGCAGTGAGCAAAAACAAAAGAAAATGCCAAAAAGTAAGTGTGGTTGGGATCTTGCTCGTCAAATAATGACGAGTTCTATTTCCAGTAGCCAGCCATTTTAACCTTAGGCTTATCTAAGTTTACCCGAACCCAGAAAAGCCTATGATCAACATCTCTATGGGTTATTTAATGCCGAATTTGAAACATTTTGAAGACAATTTTATGGTTTCAACTAAATATTTTTTAACGCAATTGTATGCCTTCAAGTACCAATAAAATGTATTGTTAGTGATTTTGCTAAAAAGTGTATTGTTGTTCCTTTTGCTAAAACATCTATCGTTGATAATTCTACTATAAAATATATTGCTGGTCATTTGGCTTTAAAAATGTATCCATGGTAATTTTACCATAAGTACACTAAGCCACGCACGCAGCTTAGATTTTTAACAGACTTGCAGTGAAATTATAAAATCTGTTTGGCAGCTAGATTATGAATCTAAGGAATAAAATGATAATTTGGAAAATTTTGATCAAAAATCTACATGGCTATTCCTTTTTTCCCCACAGACAGGACAATTTTTGGTAAGCCAAATTAGAAATATATATCCATAAAAATCACCTTTTGATATTCTCAGATATGATTCCACAGAGTAACACGCTGCAGCACCATGATGGCGTTGTCATACGTATTTTATTTCACTGTTTTGCTATTCATTCTATTATCTTCGTTAGTTTCATAACAATGACATTTAACATGAGTGACTAATTAAAAAAATGTAATCATAATAAATATAAAACTAAAATGAAAATGTTAAAAAGAAAACCAAGTCAGATATCTCAGTATTCTCCCGTAACGTGAGATGTGATTACTCTTTCTTTGTTTACCTGGAAACTCTCCGCGTACCGGCAGAGGATGGCTCGCGTACCTAAACCGGTATGCATACCACATTTGACGTGCACTGATTTAAAGTTTACCCAGAGGCTATAGATTACAAATATTTGTACCAAACCTAAATCTATAATACTCTTATACGAAATGTCAATAGGGGTTACTTTTTAGGTCATCAAATACTATATATCGGCAAGTAGGGTTTTATATTTAAATAAATGCTTTAGGTGATTATTGTGTAACCTTGAATGTAACCCCTATTGACACCTGGGAATATCAAAAGGTGATTTTTATGGATATATATTTCTAATTTGGCTTTCCAAAAATCCACAGAGTAACACGCTGCATTATGATGGTGTTGTCATATGTATTTTTCTGACTGACACCAAATCGGTTGGGTTTCAATCCGTGCTTGAGGTATTCGGTTGTCTAGTCGCACTGAAGAGCTGTGATATATAGAAACAGTACTGTCTGCGAATCACACACATATACATATAAAGTTCTGGACAAAATTATTCCCCCCGCCTTTCATAATTCTAAATAAATCTGTAATATCTCAAATTTTCATGGAAATGTCATGCGTATTTTTTCACAAATGAGGAAATAATAGATTTTAAGAAATTTTCAGTTATGCCACAACATTTTTTTTATTTTAATGTCAAACAATAATAAGAAAAACACCAAAATACATTTAGCATAGGACAAAATTATTGGCCGTTTTATTTAATAATCAATTGTGCGACCTTTATTCTTGATTATTGACTTTAATCATTTTTCATAGTTACAAGATCACTACACACATTGACAGGTATTTTGTTCCAGTCTGCCTTGGCAATAGCTTCTAGTTCCTCTAAATGTCCATAAATTTTCAATAGAGTTTAGGTCAGAATTTTGCGCAAGAACACCAATACTTTAATTTGTCTGTAATCTAAGTATTTTGCAATGCCGTGTGTTTCGGGTCATTGCCATGTTGGAACGTCCAATAACGCACCAAAGACAGCTATCGTGCACTTTGTTTTATATTATTTTTAAGAATAGCCGAATAATGCTCATTATCCATGACATCCTGTACTCTCACTAGTTTTCCTGGTTAAGAAATTATACTATTCTCTCAGAAATTAACAGTTTTCTGCCAGTCTTTAATTGATTCTCAACACAAGGAGTTTCGTTGTATATCTTGATAATGCTACGAATTGTCGATCTAGGAACATTTTGGAAAGTGTTGTATATCCATCACCTTCTTTGTACGCATCAGCTATCTTCATTGTTTTTGGAGTAATCTAAATATCTCGTATTTTAATTTTGCTGTCATCTATTTAGTAACATTCCATGCTATGTGTTTCGGGTCATTGTCATCTTGGAACGTCCAGTGACACCCCAAAGACAAGTTCTGTTAACTTTGTTTTATATTATTGTTAACAATAGCCAAATACTGCTCTTTGTCCATAGTACCCTGTATGCTCAATAGTTCTTCTGGTCCAGAAGCATCAAAACATCCCCAGAGCACAATGTTTCCACCACTGGGGTTAATTGTAAGGAGGGTATTTTTTGGTTTTAGAGATTTTCTCCATACATAACTGGACATCATGTGACCAAATAATTCTAGTCTGGTTTCATCTGACCATAAAACAGGATTCCAATATTTACTGCCATGTTCTAGATTGCTTCTAGAATAAGCTAATCTGTATATTATGTGTTTATCCTTAAGCAAGGTAGTTTTCCTTGGGTGACAAGCTCGAAGTCCTGCTTGATGAAAGCATCTCATGACTATCCCCATCGATACATTCAACTCGGACGTTTCTATACCACTGACAATCACCTTTGTCATCAAGTGAGGATTCTTTGAGATATCTCTAATTATTTTCCTTTCCATTCTCTCAGACATTAACCGTTTTCTGCCAGTCTTTAATTAATTCTCAACATAATGAGACTCGTTGTAATTCTTGATAATGCTACGAATTGTCGATCTAGGAACATTTAAACGTTTGGAAAGAGTTGTATATCCATCACCCTCTTTGTACGCATCAGCTATCTTCATTCGGAGATCCTTGTCAAGTTCAACCGTTTTTGTCATAGTTGCAGAACGAATGCGTTATCACGGTACTTGGCGCTCACCTATTGTCTTCTTCATTGCCTTTAGAATGTTATTCACACACACACACTTACACACACACACATATATATATATATATATATATATGTGTGTGTGTGTGTGTGTGTGTGTGTGTGTGTGTGTGTTAAGCTTTTCACCCCAGGCAAGGCGGAATGCCGCTAACACGCAAGAAGTTATAGAGAGTGGTAGCGAGAGTAAAGAGGCGTAATAGAGGAAATGACGAAAAGAAGGACGGGAAATAGATCAAGGCATCTGGGTATGTCGCTTGACATTACATTTGAATAATTGGAGATTATAGCTATCAGGGAAACAGACTGATGGTGCGAGACATGAAGCTGTTGGAGTAAAAGGGACGGCTACCTTTAACCCTTTCGACAGTGAAAGGATGGGACTGAGATGCCAACCTAGTATCACGTTTAAATTCATGCAGTTTGGGAACCAGCGAAAGTAACTCGACGGAGCACTTACCGTGAAATTATTTGTAGAAAAGTCAAAGGAAGAAGACGACTTACATATTGTCTTCTTCATTGCCTTTTAGAATGTTATGCTTGTATATATATATATATATATATATATATATATATATATATATATATATATATATATATATAATTACAGTGGTTGGACATATAAGCAATCGAAGATTTAAGGAATGCTTGGAATCAGAAAAAATACAAGTACGCATGAGTAAATGTATAACAGATCATGTGACCAACATTATTTAGATTTACGAAAGATAGGAAATTGTGGAGAGCCATGCTCTACCAAAAAGCACTTACCGGAAGACTTCCTCCTAGCTAACTTAACCCTGTTTAGCCTTGCTTAGAGAAACCCCTCACCGATACAAACAACCGATCTGTTCGCCAACACCACGCCACCAAAGAAAATGATTAAAATAACCCTATTGCTCTGTCCGTTTCTTACCGCTGATTCAGCATTTATAAATCTTTGTACGAAATTAAAAGCAGCGACGATGATTAAGGCAAGATTCGAAAAGCAAAAGTGAAAGTGAAAGTGAAAGTAGAACTGGCGCCAAATTCGAGTATAAACAATGTTAATGAAGTAAACCAAAGCGCTAATTAATTGGCTCGCTTGAAAATCGTACTGATTGGTATATACAAGTCATGCGGGTGGTGGGCCATTTTGGCCGATTGCTGAATGTTTGGGAAGGATTGAGTTGAGCTGGGGTACGAAAGGTTGAAATATCTGTTCGTTGTCATAGAGGCCAGGTCAAAATATTAGGAACTATGGAGGAAAATTGCAAGAAGTGTCTATACCAAGACGTTAGGGTTTATTGATGAGTGCTTATTAATTTACTACTTCTTATATATATATATATATATATATATATATATATAGAGAGAGAGAGAGAGAGAGAGAGAGGAGAGAGAGATATGAACAGACTAGGATAGATAGATGGATATGAGTAAACTGAGATAGATGTGAACAGAATGAGATAGATAGATAGATAGATAGATAGATAGATAGATAGATAGATAGATATGAACAGACTAGGATAGATAGAATGACATGAACGGACTGAAACAGAAAAATAGATAGATATGAGCAGAATGACATAGATAGATGTATAGTTTAATATTTGTTGCGATAAAGAGACAGAGGTGAATACTGAAGTTTGAATAGAGTGACGTATATATATATATATATATATATATATATATATATATATATATATATATATATACGTCTAAAAGAAAATAGCGATGCCTAAGGTTTAAAAAGCATTTTACATATGAAAGTTAGCTGCTATGATACTCCCTTGTGCAAATTAATTGAAACAAAACGAGATAGATAGATAGATAGACAGACAGATAGATAGATAGATAGATATGTAATATCTTGAGATAAGAGTTTGATTCGTTCCAAGAACCAGCTCGTAACGCGAAACACTCCTATCCCAAATGAATTTTCCCCACTGAAATTAATAAGAATATTTCTGATGCGTTGTAGACCCCTAAAAATCACCCTCATTTCCCTAAAACTGTTTCTGTCTATTTTGGCGTTTCTTACAAGGAAAAACGTAGCAAAGTAGTTTACAAGCAATAAAGAAAAAATAAAGAAAAAGAAATAGTAAAGAAATACGCCTGAAACTTGTCACTAGAGCGGCAATAAGCGGTTAAGTGAAATTCGCTCGTACCTCAAAATTCAGCTCTTATCTCAAGGCGAAATCATATGGCGCTACATTCGTAACACGAGGCTTTACTATATATATATATATATATATATATATATATATATATATATATATATGCTCCTTAAAAATCGGTTGAGCTCTCTAGGGAGGAAATGTGTTTGTAAACAGTGACTATTACTGCTAATAATGCAAGACTCTTCGGTAAATCGAATCGAGTTCTCTCAGTTACTGTGTGTTTGTCTAAAAATAAGTACCCTTAAATTCACCTTCATCCCTGTCGTGTGCCAACGGCTTAGTGGTAGAATCCATGACTGACGCCAATTCAGTCGGGTTTCGATCCAACCGGACGGTTTGCCACACTGATGAGCTGTGATACAGCGAAACAGTTTGTCTGTGCTTGACAATATATATGCTGAAAAATCTATTTCGGTTGAGCTCTCTAGGATAGGAAGTGTTGGTTTGTAAACTATTACTTCAGTAAATCGAATCGAGTTCTCTCTGTGTGTTTATCTAAAAATAAATACGCTTGAATTCATCTTCATCCCTGCCGTGTGCGAACGGCTTAGTGGTTCAATCCCCGACTGAATTGGTGTCCGGTTTCGATCCTAGCTAGAGGCGACCGGACTTCTAGCTACACTGATGAGATGTGATAGAGCGAAACTGTATGTCTGTGGATGACAATATATATATATATATATATATATATTTACCACAACATTCTTGTTAATAAAATGTGACTTTCTGCTAAAAAAGTCAACGCTTCACGTTCCAATACGATAACAATTCTAAATACACTGCCATAAAGAATAAACGATATCTACATGGGAAGCACTACGAGGGTAAATTGAAAGTCTTCCAGTGGCCTAGTCAGTGTCCCGACCTTAACCTAATTGAAAACCTTTAGACCATAATAGACAATCGTGCCTGTAATAAGAAAGTTACCACAGAAGGTGAGCTTTTTCGAGAGTTAAAGGAATTACTTACTTAATTTCATGAAATTTACTAGAAATTAAAATCGTCAACCAAAGGATTTTTCTTAGCTAAAAGCAAGACTACTTGGAGTATGTAAATCATCATATTTTTTCAAACTTTTACCAAGTTCCCTAAAATCTGCTCAAAATCATAAAATAATAATTGTAATAAGACTATCTAATTATTTAATTAGATAAGCTTTTAATTGCTTTTAAAACCAGTAAATATTAAGGACATTATAGTCTAAAGAAAAAAAAAATCGATAAAAATGAATTTTTACAAGAATTTCTTTTACAAGCAGTTTCCATTTTTGTTTTAAAAATTTTCTAAATGTCGTCAAATTTAGGAAGTTATTAAGTGAAGACTATATTTACTAAGTGAACATTGAAAAGCTTAATACAAGTCATTGCATTAAAAAAAATTAAAAACATTTTTTTTATCTAAATGTTCTATTTTTTAAGTATGGTGTTTCATACGTGACATTATCGTTAAAAGGTCATTTGTTTCCAGGGTTGTCCCCCTCACGGATAAACATTTTCAGCTGAGGGCAATCGTTTCATTTTACTTCCAAGGAGGATTAAAGAGGAAACTGATGAGAAAACGGCCCTTTTCAGGGCCGCAAAATATTCCGAAAAGTCTTATAAATGTTATATGTGGTAGCATTTTTTTTTCATATAATATTGCTTGAGATATTGGATTAAATAAAATAAGTGTACAATTACTTAAGTAATTGCTGTGGTGTCCTCCCTCTAAAGAGTCTATGTTGGACTCTTCCGCTTACTATAAAATTAGTAGGACGTTGGGCGAACAGTCGCACAGATTGTTCAACTGTCAAACTCTCTGCCTCGACAGAGAGGAACTCGACAAAGTTTCGTCCGAGGAGGTAGACAGTCCCTGAAACCGTCTAGGTGGGTTCAAAGGAAATATTTTTGGCCGAGGTTACGGGTTTGGAGTAACCCACGTTAAACTAGGCCTTGTGCCACATACATTCCTTGTCGGGGGACAGTTAAATATAACAGTCGAATAGATTGAATGCTGGGTCAACCGACACACACTCACTATTCGTTCTTCTGTTGAACTTAATGTTTAATATATGATATATCTGTAACACGTGTTTTGCTATTTCTTTAACCATTACCTGGGTCACAGCAGTAATAATGAAATTTAAGTACTTTAAAAAGTTAATAAATAAAACAATTTTAATATTTTATAAGGATCAGGATGTAACAATTAATGATAAAAAAAAAATAAAATCTTAAAAATATAAATTGATAATAAATACCATAAAATTTAAAATTATTGACTGAGTGTTATACCTGACGTACCTATTCTATTATTAATAGAATCTCCCACACATAATAAGTAGTAGGATTAGTAGCAGTAGCCAGTTGGGCTCAGTGGTGTTGAGTGAGTTAGTCGATGTCGGACATTGAAGTATCAACCATCACAACTAGATTGCTGCGTCATTAACTCTTATTTCAAGTTCCTAACGTTTTGTACGTCGTACTCTTTTAGGACAGACTTAGTGAAATACAAGCCTCCACTGTGAAAACTACTCTAGAACAGTGAGTTCCCTCTACCATTGCATTTTATTATTACATTATCACAATTACTGAATTAAAAAAGTTTATAACTAAGATAATATTATAATTAATATAATTATTTCATTATCTCAGTTATTGTTGCAAGATGATAATGGGTATGTCTCCATTCTTTTTTATATACAAATATTTAAGTAAATGCTCTGTTTATAATAAACAGTATTAACAACATTGAACCGGCCTGAATGTCTAAGTACAAAAACGCTTCCTCAGTAGCTAAATGGTATCGTACGTCAGGCTATATGACGGTTTCGTGTAGGATACAGGTTCGATTCCTATCGAAAGACGTTCATGACGGTAAATGTTGTTAATACTGTTTATTATAAACAGAGCATTTACTTAAATATTTGTGCCTCTAAAAACAACGAATAACAATAAAATATATTAAATATATATGTGTGTGTGTGTATTCATTTCAACAGGCATATCAATCAGTGTTGGTTTGCATGCGTAAACATAGTGAGCCATTCAGATATATACAAACGTATATGTGTGTGTGTGTGTACGTGTGTTTTATTGAAGTTGTTCGTTGAATCGGACAATCAAAGAGCAATTAGGTAGAGTTGGCTGCCCATGCGTTAATACCCTCGCCAGAAGTAGTCATTGAACTGTTCATACCGACTGACCCGATAGCTGACAAGCCAACCTCCTCATAGAAGATAATTATTCGTCTGTCGTACCGTGCCCAGGCCAACCCTGTCCGAAACTCTCCAAGGTGTTACTCATAGACGCTTACACGATTAAATACCGAAGGAAAGTATTGATAGGAGCGCGGGCGGTCAGTTTGTGCCTCAGCAAGAGGTCTTCAGCCGATGACCTACAGAGAAGGGATGAACGGAGTCGCAAGAAGATTGTTTCGGGATGTGTAAAGAAAGGAAATTAAACCAGAAAAGAAACAAAAGGAGGGAGCAAATGAAAGAAAGAAGCAAGGAATGAACAACGATTGTAGCAAGGTTACGTTGAAGAAAGGAAGTCAGGAATGATCCCACCGAAGGAAAGAAAGAAGAAAATATGGAATTGAGTAAGGAAGACAGCAGCAAGGAAAGAAGCATGTAAAAACATGCCAAGGAAGGAATGATTGAAAATAGCAATGAAATGAATAAGAAAGGAAAGAATAGTGAGCAAGAGAGTAATAACTGAAGGGAGCAAGGAAGTAAAAGGTAGCTAAGGAGCAAGGGAAAAGGAGAGCAAGAAGCAAAAGTAGAAGGGAGCAAATAATGATTGAAATGTAAGGAAGAAACTCAGTAAGGATGCACAATAAATAAGGAATGAATGAAGTAATGAAGTAAGGATTGTATTGTGCATAGAAGCAAGAAAGGATCGAAGCAAGAACGGGGTGAGGCAAGGAATGAGCGAAGCAAGGAATGAGAAAACAATGACGGGGCGAAACGAGGAATGAATAAACTAAAGAAGGAGCGAAGCAAGGAATGAGAGAACAAGGAAGGGGCGAGTCAAGGAAGGGGCGAGAGAAGAAAGGGGTGAGGCAAGGAAGGATCGAAGAAAGGAATGAGAAAGCAGGGAAGAGGCGAAGCATGGAATAAGCGTAGCATTGAATAACGAAACAAATAAGGAACAAGGAATGAGTAAGCTAAGTAGGATCGAAGCAAATATTTAGAAAGCAAGGAATGAGCGAAGCAAGGAATAAGTAAGCTAGGTACGAGTGAAGTAAAGATTGAGAAAGCAAGGAAGGAGGGAAGCAAGAAAGAAGCGAAGCAAAGGAGGTGGGAAGCGAGCAATGAAAAAGCAAGGAAGGAGCGAAGCAAGGAAGGATAGAAGCGAGGAAAGAGCGAAGGAAAAAGCGAAGCAAAGAGTGAGAAAGCAATGAAGCAGGGAAGAAGTGAAATGTGGAAGGAGAGAAGCAAGGAATGAGAAAGCAAGGAATGAGCGAAACAAGCAATGAAAAAGCAAGGAAGGAGTGAAGCATGGAAGGGGGGAAACAGGGAAAGGAACTGAAGCAAGGAATGATTAAGCAAGGAAGGACCGAAGCAAGGAATGAGAAAGCAAGGAAAGAGCGAAGCATGGAAGGAGGGAAACAGGGAAAGGAACTGAAGCAAGGAATGATTAAGCAAGGAAGGACCGAAGCAAGGAATGAGAAAGCAAGGAAGGAGCGAAGCATGGAAGGGGAGAAACAGGGAAAAGAACGAAGCAAGGAATGATTAAGCAAGGAAGGACCGAAGCAAGGAATGAGAAAGCAAGGAAGGAGCGAAGCATGGAAGGAGGGAAACAGGGAAAGGAACGAAGCAAGAAATGATTAAGCAAGGAAGGACCGAAGCAAGGAATGAGAAAGCAAGGAAGGGGCGAAGCATGGAAGGAGCAAAACAGGGAAAGAAACTGAAGCAAGGAATGAGTAAGCAAGGAAGGGATGAAGCAAGGAATGAGAAAGCAAGGAAGGGGAGAAGCAAGGAATAAACGAAGCAAGGAATGAAAGAAGCAAGGGAAGATCGAAGAAGGGAATAAGCCATGCAAGGAAGGAGCGATGCAAGGAGGAAATAGACAGGAAGGAAATAAACAAACTGTGAATTAAATAAAGAATGAAAAAAATGAAGGATGCAAGAAAAGGTGCAGGAATGGTAGAAAAATGAAGGAAGCAAGTAAAGAAGAAAGAATGAAAGCAGAATGAAAGGAGGGACGAATGAAGAAAGAGAGAAAGAATCAAAGTAGAAATAAAGAAAGAAAGAAAGAAAGAATGAAATTAGAAAGAAAGAAAGAAACGAACGAAGAAAGAAGGGAAGAAAAAATGAAAGCTAAAATAAAGCAAAAAAAATGAAGAAAGAAAGAAAGTAAAAAGAAAACAAGGAAAGAGCGACGGAAGCAAGGACGAAAGAAAGAATGAAAGTGAAAAAGAAAGTAATGAACGAACGTAGAATGAAAGGAAGAAAGAATGAAAGTTGAAAGAAAGCAAAAAACGAAAGAAGAAAAGAAGGAACAAAGAATGAAAGTCGAAAGCAAACAAGAAACTAACGAAGAAAGGAATGAAGAAAATAGAAAGGAAGAAAATAGAAAGAAAAGAAGGAATAGAGAAATGAAGAAAAGAAAGGAGAAAAAACAAAAGTATAAAGAATGAAAATAACAAATGAAGAAAGAATGAAAGCAGAAATAAAGCAATGAATGAAGAAGTAGAAAGAATACAAGGAACGAACGAAAAAAGGAATAACAAAAAATGAAAGCAGAAAGCTAACAAGAAACGAACGAAGAGGGGAAGGAAGTTATAAAGAGAGCAGTAAGAAAGCAAGGAAAAGAGAAAGGAAGAAAAAATGAAATAAAAAGGAAGGGCCTAAGGAAGAAAGGAAGGAATAATAAAAAAAAGGGAATGTAGAATGAAAGCAATGCACCAACGGAGAAAAGAAAGAAAGAATGAAAGTAGAAAGAAACAACACAAAACGCACACATATATATATTAAGACATTTTTTTATATTTATACGTTCTTTTAGATACACATATTTAAGTAAATGCTTTCTTTATAATAAAGAGTATTAACAACAATTACCGGTCTGAATGTCCGAGAAATTGTCATAAAAAATATGCGTCCTCCGACAGGAATCTAACCTGTATTCTATACGGAACCGTCGTATAGCCTGACGTGCTTTACCGATTTAGCCACAGAGGAGCGTTTCGCTTAGCAAGGTCGATTTTACTGTTCTTAAACTATAATTCTCCATGATTTTCTCTCATACATTCATATCTGCTGAATGCGTATACAAATTTCATAATGTGTGACATCATTTGTTTACATTTGTTTATATACGTACGGGATATGGTGACAAATTTTGATAAAAACGGCACTTTTTTAATATAATGCTGGGTTTCATTTAGAAATACTTTCAGGTCTGCTAATCCAGTGTCTTCAGATTGTATCCGATTAAGGTTGTTCCTAACTATCTAGATATTATACCCGATTTGCACTGGCTGCAACATCCTTCAAACTTTAAAAAAATAATTATCAATGTCCGATTAGAATGTTCCCCTAAATTTCCCGCGCATTAAAAGAGATAGTGAGTCCACCTCTCGGCTCAAGTGTTCAGGGACATGCAAATGACAAACACATCGCTGGTACTGAACGGGATATGTAATGCATCCCGTTTTAATTCAATTATGACAAAACATGTACAAGTCAATTAAGATCAGAACTTATGAGAGCCACACATGTAGTATCAGAACACCTATTATTATTTTTTAATATTTCCTAGGATTTCTGGTGCATATTCATTCCATGCGGGTTTTAACGAAAGACTTAAGGGCAGACATGGCATCCTGACATTCTTCACTGAGCATTTTTGAGAGAAAAAAACACCTAAAATCATACATATTTTACATAAAGTCCTTCATAAAGTGTGGACTATACCTTTGATTACATTATTATTATTATCATCATTATTAATAATTATTATTTGCATTATTATTTTTATTTTTATTATTATTTTATTATTATTATTATTTTTATTTTTATTATTTTATTATTATTATTATTATTTATTATTTTTATTATTACTTTTATTATTATTATTATTTTATTTTATTATTATTTTATTATTTTCTTACTATTATTATTATTTTATTATTATTTTATTATTATTATTATTTATTTTTTATTATTATTTTTATTATTATTTTATTTTTATTATTATTTTATTATTTTCTTGCTATTATTATTATTTTTTATTATTATTATTATTATTATTATTATTATTATTTGTGTCCTACTTTGCATCCTGTAGGAACGGTTCCAAAATATGTCCTTAGGCGCTATAGGAGAATTGTTATTTAATTGATAGCACTTTGTATATGAGATGTTCGTAGTAGGGTGATTTTGGGGGAAACTTGTGTTTATGTTAACTGGGACAATGTTAGTAAAATTGTCCATTCCTTTTCTCACGAGGCCCAGTGCTCCGATTACTATTGGTACAGTCTCAGTCTTCATTCCCCACATCCTGTTAATCTCGGGTCTTTCTATTTGGACAATTCCTCGATAATTTTCATGGAGGTGTTTCTCTCAGATGGTACTGCTATGTCAATAAGCATACACTTCCTGGATTTCTTGTCTTATATAATAATATTAGGTCTGTTAGCTTTTATTTCTCTATCAGTTTGAATTGACATGTCCAAGAGGATAGTGACATCGTTATTTTGGGTAACTGTGTCTGGTTGGTGTTCATGCCATCTCTCAGTGGTTTCGATTTTGTGCTTTTTGCATATCTCCCGGTGCACATATATCGCTACCTTGTTATGTCTGTGGGTATATTCATTTTTTTTTTTTTTGGCAGTTGCGGACATTCTGAGATAATATCGTCGACAGTTTCATCATATTTTCCACAGATTTCGAGCTAGTTGTATCCTTGACTAGCAGTAGAGTCCGGCGTTGCCCGGGGATGTAATAGTAAGAGATCAAGAATCGACCATCATAAAGACTGAAAAATAAAATTGACAATGATTATTGTTTAAGGTTGACGGACACGCATGTCTCAATTAGTTTTTGTTTTGTTTTGTTGTTGTTTTTTTAAGAATTGGTCAAACCCAAACTCAAACAAAAACATTGTTTTCAATCGTTATGAGTCTACTGATTGAATACAATTTTATCATAAACAATTATCTTGTAAATGGAATTTTGAAAGCATTCTGAATGTAAAAATAAAGAAAAAAGTGTGCAAGACAATAAGAAATACTACCTGCCAAAAAAAAAAAAGTGAAGTTTTGTTGAAATCGGTTGAAAAATGTAGGAAATCCGATCCCATATATAAACGAACACACAAACAACCTGGGTTTTATAATAAGTATAACTCGATATGAGTTGTTCCCCTTTCATTCTGGCAACAGCGATGCCTCTTAATCGTGTTTTCAAAGTGATTTCGTACAAAAACAATTGTGTTTTTCCAATTTTTGGCGCTGTCACAACTACCGCAAGGTAATTTTAGGTAGTCCTGTGACGTTTTGTTGAAATCGGTTGAAAAATGTAGGAAATCCGATCCAATATATAAACGTACAGACACACACACAATCTGCGTTTTGTAATAAGTAAGATTATGTGATAGTGATAAGATCAGGTTGCGAAGAATGGTCTTAAGCTGCAATAATTTAACGTTCTGTCTCAGTTTTCAGCCCGATGTTTCTCAGCAACTGGTGTGTATTTTGTTGGTCCACATCTGCTTCTTTTGTTCTTTCTAGGTGTTTGCGATGCAATGCCTTGTTCTACCAGATTTTCTTTGTAATTTCATTTGGTCAACCTCTTTTACTAGTTTGGTGTAGGTGCTATTCGCTTCGTTTTTTGTTGGTAGGGTATTAGGGACATTAAGATGTTTCTTGGAGATTGCAGCTTCTTTGTTGATGGAGTGGATTTGGTGTTTTACTATTTGTAAGAGAGGGTTATTGGTTTTTGTGAGGTATACTTACAATCCAATTGTTGTAGTTTTTAGAGTTTAAGGTGGATTATACCTCAGCCTCCTAAAGTTCTACAGACAATAAACATCAGATTTCGAGTGATGCATCCTCATTTGGGCAAGCATTTTTTCTGGTCTTGGCGTCCAGTCTTTTAATGTCATTCAACTTCCATTTAATAATGTTGAAGCTGTATGTTACTACGAACATAGCTAAAGTGTTAATAGCCTTCATTTTATTGACCCCATTTAGTTCGCTTTCTAATATCAAGCGCAGTGTCCTATAACATTGTTTTCAGTTCTTTTTCTTCATTGTTGCATGATGCATTCTGTCTCCTTCATTAATTCCTAAGTATTTTTTTATGTACCATCTTGGTCTAGTTCCTTAACCTTGTTGTTGATATCAAAGTCTAAATCTGTAGTTTTCGTTAGTTTACCACCTTTTGAAAGTGGCTTTGGTACATTTGCCAAATCCGAACTCCATCCCAATATCTTCGCTGAAGGTTTTGACAATGATGAGTATTTTTTTTTCTGCTGGTTGTCAACCTTGGTAAACGTTTTGATATCATCAGTATAGAATAGGGGGTTCAGTTTGCCATTCTGCGATTTGTATCCGTAGCTGTTTTTGTTCAGTAGGCAGTTATAGTGGCGCTAATGCGAGGCAGAAGATTAGTGGTGATAATGAATCTCCTTGGAAGATCTCGCTTTTGATATTGATTGGTCTTGATGTTAATGAACCATTTGTATGGTTTAGGTTTGGTGTAGTCATCCAGCTTTTCATGCTCCCCGTTATAAAATTGACGGCTGTGGGGTACATTCTGTATATTTTGGGGCTCTTCTCTATCCATTAGATTTTTCTAATCGACCCATGCTATCGATGCGTTTCTTTTCCTTGTTTTATTGCACCTGTAACTTCCTCTTTTACATCTGTTCTGCTAGAATGAAATTGTTTTTCTCAAGGAAGTTGTATGTCCTCTCCTTTATGTGAGGATTTTGTAGATTGTTGGTAGACATGTGATGGGCCTATAGTTCTTCGGGTCCTGCGTCTCTTATGTTTTGGGGAGTAGGTATCTTACTTCTGACGTAAGCCATTTAGGGCATTTGTCGGGGTTTATGATTATATAATTGTATTCACGTGCGAAACCTTGGCGGGTGCTAAATAGTTGTTTGTTTGTTTTTGTTTTTGTTTTATGTTTTTTTTATCCAGATTGGCTGTTTAGTCAATTCCTAGTGCTTTCCAGTTTTCGTTTTGCAGATGGCAACGGTTGTATCTGTTTATATTTCTGAGATGGGGTATTATGTACACTATTTATATTATTGGAACTATTGCCCACATATTTGTCGCCATATTTATTGCAACGTTTCAACCATTGTACGCTCCCTATTCAATATCTGTCTATATTTCTGAGATGAGGTATTATCTACACTATTTACATTATTCGGACTATTGTCCTCATCTTTGTCGCCATATTTATTACAACGTTTCGGCCTATCAGTATCTGTCTATATTTCTGAGATGAGGTATTACGTACATTATTTACATTATTCGGACTATTGTCCTCATCTTTGTCGCCATATTTATTACAACGTTTCGGCCTTTCAGTACCTGTCTATATTACTGAGATTAGGTATTATGTACACTATTTACATTATTCGGACTATTGTCCTCATCTTTGTTGCCATATTTATTACGTTTCGGCCTTTCAGTATATGTCTATATTTCTGAGATGAGGTATTATGTACACTATTTACATTATTCGGACTATTGTACTTATCTTTGTCGCCATATTTATTACAACGTTTATGCCACATTTTTGAGATTTTGATTTCAAGGTCCTTTTATTTTGATAGTTTTTTGAAGATCTTCAAATATACATTGCAGTCTGCAGGGACTGCCATATCAATAACCAGGCATTTTTAGGTCTCTAATCACGATGTCAAAGAGATTAACTTTGATTGTTCTGTCTCTGTGTCGATAATGAAGTCCCATAAAATTGTTACAGGTCCTATCTCTCCAACTGGGTCTAGATGGTATTAATATCAATTTCTTTCAGTTTTTATTCTTATTATTATTATTATTATTATTTTCTTTGATTTCTGGCGTTTACACATTTCTTTCCGGGTCCCGCCCAGGGACCTAAGGTTAGAAATGGCGTCATGACACTTTCCACTAACAAAAAAAAATTACATAGATAAAGCCCTTCGTAAAGTGTGGGCTGTACTTGTCAGAACAATTTTTTGTATCTCCTTGAGGCATGGACTTCCAGGAATCCCTTTAATTAGTCTACTGCAATCTTTTCCAACCAGTCCTAGGGCTCCAACTACAACAGGGATTGTTGATGTTCCCATATGCCACATTTTCGAGATTTCTATTTCAAGGTCTTTGTATTTTGACAGCTTTTTGAATATCTTCAAAGATACATTGCAGTCAGCAGGGACTGCCATATCAATAAGGAGGCACTGTTTTTGTTTGTTGTCATTAATAACAATTTATTATTATTATTATTATTATTATTATTATTATTATTATTATTTCTTTGGATATTAAGTGTATACTCATTTCTTACCGGGTCCCAAACAAAAACCTAAAGTCAGAAATGGCATGATGACATTGTCTACTGAGCATTTTTTTGGAAAAAATATTTTACATAGGTAAATTCCTCCATAAGGTGTGAGCTGTACTTGTAAGTATAATTTTTAGTTTTCTTTTAATGCTTGGTCTACCAGGAATGGCTTCATTGAGACTATCGGAACATTATTATTATTATTAGTAGTAGTAGTAGTAGTAGTATTTCTTTTTCTTATTTACTCTCTCATAGGTAACCAAAGATAAATAATGTTATTTCTTTTCTTCGTTAACTTCTGTTACTTTTCTTCCGCTTTTCTTCTTCTTCTTCTTCTTCTTCTTCTTCTTCTTCTTCTTCTTCTGTCATTTCTTCTGTCATTTATCTATTATTTCTTACATTTCTTCTATTCTTAATCTTTTTATCTTCTTCTTCTTCTTCTTCTGTCATTTATCCAATATTTCTTACATTTCTTCTCTTCTTAATCCTTTTCTTTTTCTTTTTATTTTATTTTAATTATTTTCCGCCGACGCTCTTCTTCTTCTTTTTCAACGCATCCTCTTTTTTTCTCCCTTTTCATTTTTTTAGTTTATTTTTGTTTCTAATACTTCTTCATCTTCTTCCTCTTCATTCCCTTTTTTCTTTCTTTCTTTTTTTTTTTTTTTTTTACTCTCTTTCATCTTTATTTCTTTCTCATCATCTTCTTCTTCTTCTTCTTCTTCTTCTTTACTGCTTACATTTTTTCTATTCTGGATTCTTTTCTTTTCTCCTTCTTTTCCTTTTTTTATTATTTTCCCAATACGCTCCCCCTCCTCCTCTTCCACCTTCTCTTTTTCTTTTTCTTCGACTCCTTTTCTTTTTTTTTGTTCATTTTCATGTTATTTCTCTTTCATTTTTATTTCCAATTCTTCTTCTTTTTCTTAATTACCCTTTTCTTCTTTTTATTCTCCTCCCTCTTTAGGCCTTTTTTCTTCTTTCTATATTCT